GTACTTCTGAATACTTAAGTATTTTCAAAAGTAAGTACTTCAGTACTTTTACTTGAGTAGATTTTTGACTGAGTAACTTTTACTTGTAGTGGAGTAGATTTGACCATGAGTATCAATACTTTTACTCAAGTACTAGAGTTGAGTACTTTGTCCACCACTGGTTTTACGGTTCAGGAAGTGTCGGTGCTCACTATCAGAGGTGACGTTTTAGAAAAAAGCACCACCTCCAAGAAGAGGATTAAACCAGTCCTGATCTGCTCCTTTGTTCTGTTTTCTCATCTCATCCCTGAAACTAAACCAGGTTTAAACCCATCAGCTCCACAGCAGAAGAGCTGAACCAGGAGCTGATGTTTGAAGTGCTTCGGTTTGCAGACGTTTCCAGTAAATGTTGTCTGCGTGGGCTCAGCTTCCAGATTAGTTCCTGACTGTGTTCATGTGTTTGTGTTTGTGCGTCCTGACTTTCTATGTTTGTTTACATGTGCAGTACGTGCGTGTCTGTGTGGGTCCAACTGCCCACCTTCTTATCCAGTTTGCGCCCACTCAGGGTCAGAGTGATGATTCTGTTGTCAGACAGCTCCTGCGCCGTTATCTAAAGTAACAGAACAGAACAACACCGGGTCCAACTCCAACACAAACACCAACACTGGAACCAACAACAGCTACAGTTACTAAAGAAAACTTCATGAGCGTCACCGTCAGCTACAGAGTAAAAATACACCTGGAGTCAGCCTGCAGCAGGTTGTGGCATCTGACTCTAACTGGTTGTAGAAACGGTCAATAAACTGGTTCCAGGTAAACAGGAGGAACAAACCAACAATAAGAATTTAAACCTGAGTGAGCAGTCCTGGTCCTGGCTTTGTTCCTCTGCTTCCAGAAGGGGGTCTCTGCAGTCACTAAGTGGGAGGCTCTAGGTGTGTGGGCGGAATTTGTAAAAGACACAGTGAGTCTGTTTGACTTTTGTGGGAGGAGATTGTTAAATAAAATGATTGATTGGATTGACAATTTTGGGAGGGATTTGAAGAATGGTCCAACCTCCACCCACATCCAAGAACTTACGTCTAGATTCCAAACCCCGCCCACACATAATGACTCCACCTATATTCCAAACCCCGCCCACACATAATGACTCCACCTATATTCCAAACCCCGCCCACACATAATGACTCCACCTATATTCTAAACCCCGCACACACTTAATGACTGCGCCTATATTCCAAACCCCGCCCACACTTAATGACTCGGCCTATATTCCAAACCCCGCCCACACTTCATGACTCGGCCTATATTCCAAACTCCGCCCACACTAACTGACTCCACCTATATTCCAAACTCCGCCCACACTGAATGACTCGGCCTATATTCCAAACCCCGCCCACACTGAATGACTCGGCCTATATTCCAAACCCCGCCCACACTGAATGACTCGGCCTATATTCCAAACCCCACCCACACTTAATGACTCGGTCTATATTCCAAACCCCACCCACACTTAATGACTCGGCCTATATTCCAAACC